GTCTCAGCGGAGTGGTGACTGGTGATAGTGCAGTGTTTCTATGCGGCCTGGTACTTCGGGGGGCATAAATCCCGAAGCAGAAGTAGTTACCAGATTCCATTGATCCTAGATAAAGCGCCGATCCAGTCTCCAGGATTCCATCTCTCCCCTCCTCTTCCTCCTTCCCTCTGTCCTTCCCTCCCCTCTTCTCCTTCCCCTCCCTTCTCTCTTTCCCTTCTCTCTTTCCCTTCTCTTTCCTTTTCCTTTCTTCTTCTTTTTTTTTTTTTTTCTTTTTGTAATACTGGGACTTGAACTCAGGAACATGCACTTGCCAGGCAAGCACTTACTCTACTGAGCTATCTCCCCAGCTCCCTTTCCTTTCTTATTTATGGTGCTGGGAGTCAAACCTAGGGCCTGTGCTCTCCAGCCGAGTGCTCTACCACTGAGCTGCACCCCAGCCCCAAAGTGGCTTCTGTATGACTATGTGAGGTGTGGGGGACCTGGCAGTGCTGAGCTCCACAGCGTGTGATCTTAGGGTGTGCGGAGCTGTAACTCATGGAAAGGAGAAGGGATGTAGCCAGGCAGGGGAAAGCAGAAGCATTTTGCTTTGCTCTAAGTAAGCACTAGTCATTTCTAAAGATTTTTCTCTGAAGAAATTTGAAGTCCATAAAGGGTTTTAGTTAAATATATTTACATATAAACCCTACTAAAAGGAATATGTGTGCGCACACGTGCCTGTGGGGTGTGTGTGTGTGTGTGTGTGTGTGTAGACAAGAAATACCGACCCCAACAGCAGCAGAAGGCTGTTTCCTTATTCCTAATGGGATTTTGTAGCAGCATGTGTGAGTTTGTTTCAGAAGTCAAAAATGAACAGATGTTGGTATAAATTACCTCTGTGTCTGATGTCTCGCAAATTAAAAGCGCGGCTGGCATCACTAAACAATTTCACTAGGCTTGGGGGGTGCAGTTGTGGGTGGTGATTACTGCAGCAGATCGGTAAGAATGTTCACACTGCAGAAGAGCAGGAAAGCAGAGATAGAGAAATATAAAATAAGGGCTCTGTGCATTCATCAGAAATGCTAACATCTCGATGGCAAGCGAGCAGGAGGGCGCGTGCCCGCAGCAGCCCTGGCCCACAGCAGTTTCTCTGCGCACGCACGGAAGGCGTTGGTGCTTTGGATCTGATTTATAGGGCACAGCTCCCTTTCAGGAAGTGCCTCTGTCATGCCTTCGTATATCTCCTCTATGGGCCTGGCAGGGAGGGGACTTCCTCCCCTCCCCGGAGGAGATGATGTCTTTTGAATTACTTCTACTTTTACGGTGGTTTCTTGCAGCTCTGTGTACTTGGATTAGGTTGCAGGGGAAGGAATGATTGAGTGGAAAATGGGTTGTTAAAAAGAATTGGTTGGATTCAAGGAGAGCTTGCCACGGGGAGACTTCAGAACCTCCATTTATTTTTTCTCTTTTAAGCCCTTTGATCCTTCAAGCAGTTGAGTCTTTGAAATTCTTAGACCTACAGTATTTTGAGTCATTCTCCTATTTGGTGGGGAAAAAAACAGTAAGGAATTGGGAGGCCTGAAGGACACAGCAGAACTTGCCAGTGTCGTCAGTGCGGCCCGTAGGCTGGGACAGAGCCTCTTGGCTACCTTGAGAGTGCTTCTGTCTAGCGCTGGTGTCTGGTTTCCAGAGCGCCTACTTTACCCATGTTTTGCGATCATGTGATGCTGAAAATGTCTAAGTCCTTGCCACACGAGAGTAGGTAGGTAACCCATTCTGCAGAAATAACTAATGATTCCTGTAGGGCCTTGTCTTAGTTACTTTTCTTTTGTTGCTGGGACAAAATACCCACCACCCAAAGTTAAAGGAGGAAAGGTTTGTTTAGCTCACAGTTTGTGAAGGTTTCAGCCCATAAGGCAGAGGGGCACGTGACAGAGGGGCAGCCGTTCATGGTGGCAGAAGATACCAAAGCAGCAAGCAATACCAGAAAAAAGAAAACAGTGGTTTTACCCTGTACTAAATACAAAGAAAGAAAGAAAAAAAAAAAAAAAGACAGACAGACAGAAAAGCAGAGCAGAGTAGAAAGGGAAGCAAGCCCCTTTTCCTCCCCACAAGTTGTAAGCAGGCTGCCTACCCTGGGGGTGGGTGTAGCATTCACACGGCCAGTTTGCATACTAGACAATGAACCTATTGCAAAGGCTAGATTCAGCCCCCTCTCAAAAGCCTGCCTTGGGCCGGGAGATGGCTCAGCAGAATAAGCACTTCCCTGGCAAGCACAAGGGCTGAGTTCAATCCCCGGTTTTGAAGAAAAAAAAAAAAAGCCTGCCTTAATGACCACAGGAGGCTTTGAGGAGACATGCAGATCCAAGCCACAAAGACATTCCTAGCAATGGGTTTTTGTTTGTTTATTTGTAGTACTGAGGATTGAACCTAAGGCCTTCACACTGAACTGTCTCCAACCCTTTTTTATTTTTTTATTTTGTGGCAGTCTTAAGTTGCCAAGACTGGTTGTGCACCTGTGATCTCCTACCTCAGGCTTCTGGCGTTCTGGGGTCACAGGCATATGTCACCATGCTTTTCTAGGGGTGGCGTTGTTGAGACTACCTGCCTTATTATAATCATTTATTCATTCACTCAGAAAATAGTATAAAAATATATATGTACCTCTGAAAAGGCCTCTCGTAATGATTAACATTTTACCAAGTATATTCACTGTTACTATCAAAGAGAAAAGTAGCACAGGTGGTATTAACATTCGGCGTGGGCTGGGGAGACGGCTCAGTGGAATAAGCACTTCCCTGGCAAGTGCAAGGGCCTGAGTTCAATCCCTGGTTCCTCAAAAAAACAACAAACAACAACATTGGGTGCATTTGCAGATGAAGAAAGTGAGGCCCAGAGATACTGTGCAGCCCAGGGTGTCACCCAGCTAATACTTAGCCCTGGCACTGAGCTCAGATACTGTACTTTGTACTTAGAAGAAGCCCACACTGCCTCCTGTAGGCAGAGCAGTACTTGACTGGACTTCCTCTGGTACACTATAGTTTGTTGTTTTTAAACTTTACTTTTTGATTAGTTTTGGGTTTTTTTGTGGAGTTTTATTTTTGTTTGTTTCCAGTACTGGGGATTGAACTCAGTGCCCTGCGCTTGCCAGGTTGTTTGCTTTTTTGAGAGTCTCACCACGTAGTGCAGCAGTGGTCATGAACTCACTGCTGGTGTCAGACTCACAGCAGCCCTCTTGCCTCAGCCTTCAGCGTGCTGGGTTATAGGTGGCGGTTTGTTCTTGGTCCCTGACCTCTTCATTAGTTTGGTATTATTTCCATCAAGGGAAATTATTTTTCTTGCCAAATAATCAAGGTACATTTTAAAAAGTCACAGAATGTGGGGGGTGGAAACCCAAGGGTCACTAACAAGTCGTTTATTTTTAATTTTTTAATTTATTTATTTGGTACACAGTCTTGATACAAAGCTCAGACGCATAGTAATCCTCCTGTCCCAGCCTCCCAGCTCTGGGAGTACAGGCATGTGCCACCACACCTGGTTTTGTTGACCAGCACGGTGCATCTGGACTTTCAGGTCCTGCACGGCACGTGGTTCCGGAGCTCAGGCCCGGGTCCTTGCACTTGCCAGGCTGGTACTTAGACCACCGAGCTGTCTCCCCAGCCCCTAAAGGAAGGAAACTAACTGTTGTGTTCTTCTTTGATCCTTTCTACATTACCACTCATCCAGATAACATGTGTTAGGCAGCTACAGGTCTGGCACTAGCCAATCTCTACTCTCTGTTTGTACACAAGTAATTATATTCAAGTCTTGCAGGAACTGCGGGAGTAGCGTTTGGTATAAATCCACCGTGGAAGGGTGGCTGGTGTGACTAGGGCCAGGACGGGACTATGGGCTCATGAGGCGAGACCCAGCCCTGGGGCTTCTACTCCCAGCTAATGAAATCCCTTTTGCTGGTGCCTAGAACTAATGAAAAATGGAAGGCAGATAGACAGGAGGTACCCAAAGCCTCCCATGATGATGGGTTTTGTGTTGTCTTCTTCATTGTGCAAATAAGCAAGAAAATGGTGAATATAAGGTAGGATGGAGGAAAGTGAAAACACATTCATCTGGCACCATGAGTCTGAACTTGGGGAGGCAGCAAGAAGGCCAGGGAAGAGGCCCCCCTCGTTTTGTGAGCACCTCCACAGTGCTACAGGGCTCCAGACTCCTGGCCCCAGGGCCAGCTGCCAGAAGCCGCAGGAACTCTGAACTCCATGTAAGAGACCTGAAGAGATGGCCTTGTGGGATGAGGGGGACAGGGATGTTAACACTGTATGTGCTTGTTGAGGATTTGCTTGACGAAGCTAAAACAGGGCTTCTGGAGTGGGCCCTGTAATTGAGAAATGTTCCACTTTCATTTTGGAGGCTTATATGTAGGAAAGTAGCTGTATAAACCCGCTGGTAACTACAGCGTTCAAAGATTGATGGTGCTGAAAGTCAGAGAAAGACACATAAACCTTGCCTGGCTGTATTAAATACCTGAGGACTGACAGTGCTGAGAGAGGGAAGACTGAAGCTCTATAAACCCTGCTTTATTACACCATCCACAGATGAGCTACACTGAGGGAACGTAAACCTTGTTACGTTAGAGCGTGCAGCGACCACCGCCGGGAGACAGGGTAAATGATCTCTGATTTAGATTTGAGATTATAAATGCCTGGAGACCAACATCCCAGAAAAAAACTTGGTGGTGGGGTTTCAGCTTCCAAGAGCAAAGCTCATATGCTAGGTCAGATTCTTCAGAGAAGCACTTCCTGGGGGATGGCGAGGCCCGCTCCAGCAGCTGGCCTGTGCTTACACCAGCGGCCAGCTTCTGCAGCACTTCATCTTAGTTGTCCACAGTGGTTTGCCCCCACCACAGGAGGTGAGTGATGATTGAGTCCCTAGTGGCAGCTACTGGGCATACAACTTGAATCACCTGTATTTTTAGTGCAATCTTCCTGAGATCTGTGTTTTCACTATCTTTTATTTGCTTTTAATTCCAGCCAGAGAGATGACACGGGGCAAGTTCCTCAACATCCTAGAGAAGCCCAAGAAGTAGCTGCTGCCTGAGCACAGGTTTCGTGGGGACTGTAACTGGGCTCCCTCCTGGGCAGTTCTGACGGTGCGCACCTCATACCTCCCTGGGAGGGCCAGATCTGTACCTCCAGGACTGCCCCTCCCCACGCCTGCAGGCTGCACTCTGAGGACATTGGTGGCAGGAGGAGAGTCTGCTCTCCCCAGGGATCGTTGTTACTGAAGCAGCATCCTAGCCTTGGAAATCAGTGACACCGGAGTTCCAAGCGGTGCTTCCTTCCTCATTTCCAGAATGGTTCGGGAGCCCCAGGATCGTAGAGCTGCTGGATGCTGTGATGGCAAAGCCATTGTGGCAGACTGACTGGACGGGCTCTTCGGAGCTGTGTGTGATCTCTCAGGAAGTCCTGGTGCTTCAGGGACAGAAGCGACCTCCTGGGCTCTGGACCAGTGTGTGTCGGACCTGTGGGCGCTCCACTGTGTGGCCACTTCCGAGATTCCCCAGCCAGAGAAGCCAGAATCTTCTCAAAATGTTCACCTGCTTTTTAAGTCCGACGCCTCTCCGCACAGTGTGCCCTCAGTGCCGTTCATTCCCCACCTCCAAGCCCATCTTCCAGCGCTGATGGCAAACCGGGAGACTCCCCAGTAGTGAGTCCCTCCTGACGTCAGCTTCAGGAGCAAAGGGCCTGTGCTGCTTGCTCTGAGTCGCCTGTGCGGCCCTCAGTGAGGGTCAGTGTGGCCTGGCAGGAAGGGCGTGGGCTGGGAGTTCCCGTTTGGATGGAACTGGAATCCCCCACGAACCTAGCGTGGGGTGAAGACAGGGCCCCATCACAGCCCCGTAATCTCTGTGATGCACGTGCACACGTGTGTAGAAAAGAATCTCCTGACCTACATACACCTTCCCACGGAGCTCTTCCCCAGTTTGACTTCCATGAAAACCTGAAAAGCTCACCCCTGCATGAAATCAGTTATACATGTTCTCCCATCTTTTGAGAAGTACAAAAAGTTTCATAAACTTCACAAAAAGACCACCGCTGCAGCATCAGTCCGATGATGTCCGGACACGGGAACGTCGCACTCCAGTTTGTGGCCGTGAGTGTCCGCTAGGCATTGCGCTCTGGTTTAACCACTGCCCCTTTAACCGTTGTCTGACACGTGTGCATGTTCCCCATGCTAGAACTAACTTAGGGTTTTTCTCCTATTTGTCCCTGCTGACCATCCACACCATTTCACTTTTTGAAAGAAAAAAATGAGCACAGGACACACAAAGGATGATTGTGAGAAGGAACGTATTCCGGCTGGTGTGCTCCGCGAGAGGGCCGCGCGCAGAGGCTTTAGAGACGCTCGTGAGCGGTGCTTCGTGATCTCCTTAAACGCAGTCAGGGTGTGTCGGGCACACAGTGAGTGCCGTAATATCTAGTTTTTCTGCCTCTGTCTTTGAGAGTTGATGCTGTCAGGCACTTTGAAATGTTTGGGGAACTGAGAAGTGTATGAAGAATACTGGGATACCTCCCCCAAGCAGCTTAAATCTAGCTGGAAGCCAAGAGTTGGTTTTTTCTTTTGCTTTGGCCTCCTTTTACTGTCTGTCATCTTACTCACCAGCACTTAATGTAAGTAGGTGTTTTAGAATTGCAATATTTATTGGTTTTGTATTTGTTGTCCTTAGAAACATTAATGATGTATTTTTATATTGATAATACAAATTTATGTACAGTGTGTATATATATTTTAGGATATTAGAGGATTGTACCCGGTGTATGTCGTCTTCATAATAAATATACCCCTTTTATAGGAGGGTTTTCCTCCGAGGGCACGTTGTATTATTTAAAGCACCTATCTCCTCAGGGAGCGCAGCTCTAGCCCACTGTCTTCCCCTCGCGCCCTCACGGGTGGTAGGGGGCTCTACCGCCACCCACGCGGTCTCCCAGCCTCCAGTCTGGCCTGTCAACCTTGCTGCTCACTGTTCAGCTCCTGGGAACATTCGGGAGCCTTGGCTACCTCGCAGGGGCACAGATAAAGTCTGGGTCTCTCTTTCTGGCATTTTACGGCTCTCTATGAAGTCCCGCTTGACCCTCATTATGGCTTGTGTGTATTTGTCCCCCCAAATCCTCATGCAGTCATTAAGGGACAATTCTACAGTTTGTGATTAATTCATGATCCAAGGCTGGGATTATGGGTCAGAGCGCTGCAGCACCCTGGGCAGCCAGCCGGAATGCGGTTTAAGGGTTACAGACGTGCCCTCTGTCGCCATTGTTCCTGTTACTCCTGCCTTTTGCTCATGCTGTTTGCTGCTTTCTGCCACCATGAACTGCTGCCCTCTGTCATGTTGCCAGTCTGCCTTGGAGCTGAGTGTGGACTGAAACCTCTAGTAACTGTGAGCTAAATAAACCTGTCCTTTCATTTTGAGTGTCGGGTATTTGTCCCAGCAACAAGAGAAGAGAAACTGAAACAACCGTCCAGTTTGGTTTTTTCTTTTTTGGCGGAACTGGGGATTGAACTCAGGCCCTTGCGCTTGCCAGGGAAGCGCTTATTCCACTGAGCCATCTCCCCGGCCCCTTGGTTTTTTCTTTCCCCTTTACAGAGTTTATTTTCCAATTACTCGAAACAGCTCCCAGCTCCTCCCTTGAGAGCCTTTGCACAGGCCATTGAGCTCCTAGAAAGTTTGCGTGTTCCCCTCTTCACACCCTTGCTTCCTGCACAGCCGGCTGGAGCTGGTCCTCCCCGGCTTTCTCACGTCCTTCACATAGACGGTCCGCATGTGCTCACCTCTCGCCACACTGTGTAGGGTGAGATGGACCAGACCCAGCAAGTCCTGAGCTCCTTGAGGTTGGCTGGCTCCTGCGTATCCACTTAGTTTTTCAGTGTTTGGTTTTTTTTTTTTTTTGCAGAACCGGGGATTGAACTCAGGCCCTTGCGCTTGCCAGGGAAGCGCTTATTCCACTGAGCCATCTCCCCGACCCCTTCAGTGTCGTCTTTGACTAGGGCTTCGGAAGCTGTGTGCAGATGCAGACTTGTAGGCCAGCATGATAGGTTGTAAGCACATTTTTCCCTGCTCCCTCTAAAACCCTCTGTGACAGGCCGGGGAGATGGCTCAGTAGAATAAGTGCTTGACTGGCAAGTGCAAGGGCCTGAGTTCAATCCCCAGTACTGAAAAAACAAACCAAAAAATATCCCTCTGTGAGGAAAGCGCTCACTGGTGCTGCTCCTGGCACCCTTGAGAGACCTGCTCTGGAGCCAGGTATGGTGGTGGTGCCTGCGATCCGGCCCCTGGGAGACTGAGGCTGGGGACATCAGACCCTGCTCCAGAAAAGGAAAAAAATGACTTCCTCTTCACAAGAGCATGCCCTTCTAGGGAAAGCATTCCTTTTTTTTTTTTTTTTTTTTGGCAGAAACTAGGGATTTAACTCAGGCCCTTGTGCCTGCTAGGCCAGCGCTTATTCTACTGAGCCATCTCCCCAGCCCCTCTTGGTACATTTAGGTATACATAATGACTACATTCATCACAGAGGAGCCGGCCAAATAGCTCAGTGGATTAAAGCAACTGCAAGCAGGTGCAGGGGCTGGGGGTTGGATCCCTGGGCCTGCCTGCCATGCTGCCCCCGCCCCCAGGGTGCACTGAGACCGCAATTGAGACTGGGCGTGGGGGCGCACACCTGTAATCCCAGCCTTTAGGAGGCTGTAAACAGGAGTCCGAACTATTAGTGAGACCCTGAACACCCTGTAGACCCTTCCCTAAATACAAAAAAATCAGAGAATTTGTAGCTGTACATGATATGTAATTTTGTTGATATATAATATTTTTCTTACCATAAAAGATACTTGTGATTTTAGTTTGTTTCCTGCTTTGTTTTGTTTTTTAGAAATCCTCTTTCTCTTATTTATTTATTGGGTTCAAGGTCTCGATATACAGCTCAGACTTGTAGTGATCCTCCATCTCAACCTCCCCAGTGCTGGGATTGCACACCATGCCTGGTTTAGAGGCCCTGCATGGCACAGGCTGGCATGGCATGTGGTACCAGGGATTGAACCCAGGTCCTTGTGCTTGCCAGGCAGGCACTTAGACTGCTGAGCTATCTTCCCAGCCCTTGTTTTGTTTTTTAAGAAGTCTTCCCATGTAGCTCCATCTAACCTTGAGCTCACTGTGTAGCCCAAGCTGGCCTCAAGCTCCTGTCGATCCTCCTGCCTCAGCTTCCCGAGGGCCAGGATTACAGGTGAGTCACTACTTACAGCATGATTTTTATCACATTTGTTGTTCTGTGGACTGGGGACTGAATCCAGAGCCTTTGCACTAAACTACATCTCTCGTCCACCTGCTGTTCTGCCTGCTCACTCTCCCTCTCCTTTCCTTCCTCCATCTCCATTTCCCTCTGCCTCTCCCCCTCCATCTCTCTCTATTTCTGTCTTCATCTCCATCTCTCCTTTCTCTTTACTTCAAATTCTGTCTTACTAAACATTTAGTTGCCCTGCTGGGCTCCAGTATGCAGTCTCCTGCCTCAACCTCCCAGAGCGCTGAGGTCGCAGGAGTGTGCCACCACGCCGTGTCGTGTCGATGTCAGTGGACACTTGCTGACTACTCCTTGGGGTTGGTTCTCTAGCTTCTGTTTATTGCAGCTCTTCTAGAGTCACTCAAGTCAAGCAGTGAAAATGGAACTGGTGAAAGTCACTCTGCTGTCCCTGTGGCTTGTGAAGTGTGCGTAGATCTCCCTGGGAGGCTCGTGCTGGAGCCAGGGATTTCATTTCCAGTGGGCTTCTTCCAGCTCTGTTCCCTCCAGCACTAAATACATGGCAGGAAGCCTGAACAGAGCCGAGCAAGAGGAAACGGGGAGATGGGCCAGGGTGCCGCCTGGGCTCAGATAACACAGGTTCTTGCTGCTCTCAGCTCGGCCCGATTCCATCTCCAAGCATTTGTTCATTTTCAGTTTGCTTCATCCTTTGAGAGCTGTAAGACCACCCAGTCCTGTGCAGGCCCCATTCCACCAGAGAGTGGTGAGCGGAGGCCTCCCCAGGCTCGGGTCCGCAGGCTCAGAGTGGAAGGTCTCGCTGGCCTGGAAGTGGCTTTTCCTGTCCCTAGACTCCTTGGCACCCTGGGCGGTGTCACTCTGTGACTAGCCCTAAAGAGCCCACTGAGTGTCCCACCCTTTGTTCAGTACTTCTGCTGCTGTAGCAGGAAGCACTTGGGGCTTCAGGTGGCCCCAGCTGCAGCCCCCAGAATCCGGGTTGGCACGAGTGCTAGCAGAGCCTGTTAATTAGCACAGAGCACCCCGATGCTCCACTAGCCAGCCCAGGCACTCAGAACCTTCCCTCCTGGGGGCCTCTTTCCCCTAATGAGAGCTGGGAGAAGGGCCTCACAAAACACTGCCTCAGAATAATATTCCGCTTTGTCCCCACCAGTAACTGGGGCTGACAGGATCACTCTGTCCATTTCTCTTCTAATTAGCACAATTCCAGCATGGCCTGAGCCAGCAAATGGAGCAAAGCGATCAAAAGTGATCGGACAACCGTACCGAATCACAAACACAAGGAGGTCCGTTCCCTGTAATTAGGTGAGACAATTCCTCAGTCCTCTCTCGGTTGGAGTTTGCCGCTAAGACTCTTGCTGTTTGGGTCCCAGCAACACAAGTTCCGCGTCTCCCTGGGACACTAATAAGCCCCACATTGTCTTCCGCTTCACACAGCTCTAACAGGAGGACAGGCGGGGGTAGCAGGGGGAGCGGTGCAGCGAGGGGACA